AATAAAAAAACTATGCAAATGATTAACGAATATATTTAATTAAGGACTTATCAGCGTCAGCAACAGCAAAGAAAGAGCACATAATTGAAAGAAAAAATAAAAATGTAAATTATTAGATAATGATAAAGGACATAACAGAAGGACATGATAAGCTGATATAATTCGACCTAGATGAGAAAAAAAACTATAAAACGTAGGTACTTAGAGCAGAAATAACCTGAATGACAATAATGACGGTATAATTTTACGTCAATACGGGCAAAGGACTAATAGTTGGAGCTCCAGCTTGCAGGCGTCGGTAATCATGTCAATCGAGGGGTATTTTATCGTAGCGCGACCCTGGCTCACAAGAAAAACAAACATTTAAATACTTGCAAGTATAAAAGAGCATTCTTTGCTTAACTTATTCGATGATCTACTTAGCTCTTTTTTTTTTTTTTTTTTTTTTTTTTTTTTTTTCCATCTTTTATCTTTCGTCGCTTCTCTATTCTCCAATTTAAAATTAATTAAAATTACCCAGACAATGATAATCGCGTCGGCTAAAAATTTGACGTTGGATTCTTTTTGGAAGTTTCGGATTTCTGGGTCACTGCTTTCACTCTCGTTCGTGCTACATCCTCTGGTTCGTGCGTCCGAGGCTTTGCGAGTTTCCCTTTCATTCCGTCCAACAGAAAAATTATTTTATTTTATTAACTTTATCAATTAATAGTTTAAAATTTCTACAATTTTATTTCTATAAAAAAAAAAAAAAATTATTTAAAATGAAAAAATAATAAACCGAGATTTTAAAAAATTAGTAAATGATAATAAAATAAAAAATAAAAATTACACGCTTTCACTTTCTACAGCGCATCCGGTCTCATTATTCCTTTGGGCCGAAACTACCCCTTTCGGGAGTTATGAAATAAAGAACAAAAAGGAAAAAACAAACGAGACGACAAAGAAAAAATAAATAATGAAAAAGAGAGAGTTAAAGGTGTACTCTACTGTACAGTACATTATATATATTATATATATAATATATACACGCCGGAGAACAAATGAAATTCATCTGAATAAATTTATACTTGCTCGTTCCATGTTCTACTCTTATATTATGTATTATTTAGTTCTCCTGATTTTTATTCTCGATCTCTAGTCATTATTATTTCGATCGAAATCTTAATTTACGAATAAAAGGACCCTCTGGTTAGATATTTAGGCTTTTAAATTACTCAATACCTGCTATGCAGCAGTCTAATACATTTAAGTAGACATAGACGTCTATTTAATCTGATGAATGCTTAATAATAAAGTGAAGAGTTTTAAGTACGGAGTATTTATATTATTCAGGTGCAGGTATTATTATAGTCGTCTTATAAACTAGACAGGATTTCCTTGGTCGCTCGTCGATATTGAGTCGATACCTGGCCTGTACTGTGCTCATTGCTAAAAACCCAGCCTAAGCCGTCTATTTATTCTTAAACTGCTATACCAGGTTCTATTATAAAAAACTTTGACACTAAAAACTTTCTAATTTATTTTAATATTTTATGGATTTTTTATTTTTAATTCCACTAAATTAAACTCTGCTTTATCGAGTGTCTGAATCGGTATTATCGGATTTATTTTTATTATTTACACAATTAAATTAATTATTTTTTATTAACTTTAGTAAAATTTTTAATTTCGACACTTGATAAATTATTTAGAGGTAATAAAATAATTTTTTTCATAATATTTAATTTAAAAAAAAATGTTAAGAATTTTTTTTTTTGATCAATAAAAATTTAACTAAATTTAGAGTTACATAATTTCATGAGTGTATAAAAAAATTTCGAGAAAATAATAAAAAAAAAATAAATCGAGAGTTCTCGAAAATAATTCGCTGAAACTGTTGGCTAAAAATAAAAAATGGCGGGCAATTTAAATGGTCGATGAATGCACAGGGGATAGGATAAATGTATGATGTAGATATGTATAGATGTAGATGGGCAGCTTGGAGAGTAACCACGAGTAAGTCGCAGGGCTGCGTCATGTTCTCATCGAACTGGGTCAGTGGGTCTCCCTTCCACTTTCCTCCTCCGAGCTCGGAGTAGCGCAGTCACACGACTGACGCGAACAGAACACAGAACAAGCTACTCTCTGCTGCTCACTACATATATATTACCATACATATATATATATATATATATATATATATATATATATTTATATTGAAGAGTGAAACCGCGGAGACGTTCAAGCACACGACAAAGACGTCCAATTAAACATTATATGTGTGTATAAAGTATAAAAAGAGGGATGGAGGGGTTACGTGAACAGAGAGAGAGAAAACGCGTCACGACGACCGGGGAGTGCCAACGGCGTTGCTGTTGACCCATCAGCCACAGCCCGGTCGGTTAACGTGCCTCATGCCTCATACCTCCATGTCTTTCTGTCTTTCATCAAACTTACTTTTTACCCGAACCTTTTCAACAAATTCCCTCGGCTCGGCTCCGCTCGGTATTCATCTTGATATCCCAATCAATATACCTGAAAAGATAAATTAATTCTTGCAATATCAAAATCCTTTTTCTTCACCCAAAACACCTCTCATATTTTTTATTTACTTTTTTTGCGCTGATATAACTATAAATAAACTCAATCTTGCTTTAGTATCTTATTTTTATATTTTTTTTTCTTGTCTGCTCCAATTAATTCTTCATATACTCTTAATTGTAATAACCGTATCTCGAAACCTTTTTTTCGCACTTTTGTATCACCAAATAATTCTGCAACGTGTATTATATATAATAATAAAATATAATACGTATACCCCAAAGTGAAATTTGCCCGACCGCGTAGCGGTTTGACGAAAAAAGGGACGACCTACTTACGGCTATTTTATTCCCGTGTTATTTTTTTTTTTTTTTTTTTTTTTTTTAACGACTTAGTCCACTCTTGTACATGATATTTATAGTACATATTATAACAAATATTTTATTTATAATAATAAATTACTAAAAATTTTTTTCTAAATATATAAAAATAATTAAACATCTTTTTAAAAAATTATCTTGAATATTAAAATGGTTCTTTTTATAATTAAGTCTAAAAGATTAGAGCTAAAATAAAATTTATAATAATTTTTTTTGTATAGAAAACTTTTAAATTGAAAAAATTTTAATTAAAAAATTCAAAACTCTAATAAATAAACTAATAATAATCTTTACTAAAAATTACACTTATAATTTTCTAAGTTTTTATAGTGTAATTTTTTTTTATGTTAATTGAAATTTTTTCAATAAAAAAACTTTTAAAAATTTTGAAATGTCGGCTAACTTCATTTTCATAAAAAAATTTGTTTCTCTTAGTGAATCGATTTCTCAAACTTAGCTCCAAAATTCCGACTCCGAAATCTCTCTGGGTGATGTAATCTTGTGTAACCCTTCGATTATTACTTTGAGGTGCCCAATCATAACTCACCTAATAACAATAATAATAATAATAATAATACTAACAACAAAAAGCAATGACAAAAAGGCGTTAAGTAATAAGTAACAACAATTATATTGGAATTAGAGCCTCAAATAAAAGTAAAAGTCGGGTAGAGCACGTGGACCGCGTAGAAATGGCGGATGGAGACGGAGGAAAGTAATCTGACAGTGTATAAGCATACACACACTCGGACTTTCCTTTTCGTAAACACACCATCACACAGTTGGTTCAGAAATTCACATATACATTTATATCCACCCAAGTGGTGTGTAACAACGGACAATATTTATCCGGCCGACATAGACCTGGTTCCGTAAGTAGGTCATCCCCTCTCGGGGATCCCGTGCAGCTTCACCCTCCGCACTTGGAGTCTCGCAATTCCCTCCCCCCTCCCAGTCTCCCACTCACACAGTCAGACTTACACTGTTAACATTATATCAACACAGCGATCAGTCGAACAACAACAATGTACGTATAGGTAGATACTTGAGTGACTTTTCCTCTCCTTTATTCCTCAGTCTCGCCTCCTATCCTCTGTCCTCTGTCCTCCTATCCGCGATATGCCAGTAGAGGCACCTGGCCGCGCACTCTGGCATGCGCCGCTGGATCACTTTCACTTATCCTCTCTCTCTCAAGCTCGATTATACAATTCTTACATTATCGGTGTTGGTATTATCATCGGCAAGCTAAAAATCAAAAATTTTTTAAATATTAATTTGAATTTTAATTTTTAAAAAATATTTCTGTCAATTTAGTGGCTCGCTTTGAACATCTATTTAATTCTACAGAACATACCAATAGTGTGTAATGTGTAATGTAGAATAAAAGACATATATATATATAATATAAATGTGTGTCCGGCGTGTTTTAGTATAGCAGCGGTTGGTTGGTAGTGGTGTGTTGGTGGTGGTAATAAGGTACCACCACACTGGCTCACTCTCAGGGGAATTAAATTGGTGGGAGTGAGGGCGGGCCCTTCAGGAGAGCAACGAGGCGAAAAGACAACTAGTCGCACGCTGATTTTAGACCCGTCAGGACGTATCGCGCTCAGACTAGTTGTTATTATTTTACCTTTTTATTATTATCACTTTATATTAGATTATTACTCGATACTTATTATCAATCTAAAAGTATTATTAAAAAATATTTATATTGTTTTATTTTTTTTTTTTGTTATTTATTGTTAATATTAATAATAATTATTACCAAAACTAATTTTAAGTGTAACCGTGTATTTTATTATTATTATTATTATTATTATTACAATAATATTTTATGTGAAGTGGCTGTGACGGATTGCAGTGAGGAAAATTTAACTAACGTGTAGCTTTATTTATTATTAATAAAATAACTGTGAGATAATAATGATTTGGACGGAAATAATATCTACCCCTGTTGTGAAATGGTTTTCGCGGTGAAATAGTAACCAAATAAACAAAATAATTAAAAAGGAGTTATTATTAGAAAAAAAAAAAATATAAATAAATAAATAATAAAACTTTTAAATAAAAATTTGCATGTGTCGTACCCGCGGGATTTAGTTAACCTGTAAGAGAGGTGATATGTTATTGGACATGGAACACCATTCGGGTCTGATGTCCCTAAACATGTCCCCGTTCCACTTGAGTCCCCAGGGGAGTCCGCACGGGCCGACTGGCGCCCAGCAGCAGCAGCAGCAACAACAGCAACCTCAGCAGCAACAGTCCCATAATTCCTCGTACAGCTCCTCGTACAGTAGCTGTGCACAGAGTCCCCCAACGACGATGTGCCAGCAGTCCCAAAGCTCCCAGAGCCAAGGCCCGGGAAACCCCAATCAGAGCCAGAACCCTAATCAGAACCAGAATCAGGCGGGAAATGTCCTGGGGTTCGAGTCGGCCTTCTTCGACGCGATCGCGCTCGAGGAGCGGTGTCCCATGTGCGGCGACAAAATGTCCGGGTATCAGTACGGGCTTTTGACGTGCGAGTCCTGCAAGGGATTCTTCAAGCGCAACAACTCCCCCTGCAGCAACAAAAAAGTCTACACCTGTCTGTTTTCTCCCACAGGCGGAGGGAACTCCTCGGCGAGCAACAGCGGGCTGGACACCGGGGGCTACGCTGGGAACGGGACCTCCTTGCCGGCCAACTCCTCGACGAACCCCGCGGGGAACCCTGGCCAGAGTGTCGGCAGCACGGGCCAGGTAGTTCCTCCGGGGAACGTCTGCCATCCTGGGCTCGGGCAAGTTGGGATTGTCACCGGATCTGTGCCCGGTCCTTCGGACTATCCGGACACCAAAGACGTTATCGAGGAACTGTGTCCGGTGTGCGGCGACAAAGTGTCCGGGTACCATTATGGATTACTCACGTGCGAGTCCTGCAAGGGATTCTTCAAGCGTACTGTGCAAAACAAAAAGGTCTACACGTGTGTCGCAGAACGCTCTTGTCATATTGACAAGACTCAGAGGAAGCGCTGCCCATTTTGCAGGTTCCAGAAGTGCCTTGAGGTCGGCATGAAACTTGAAGGTCAGTTTTTTAGAAATTTTTTAGATTTTTTTTTAGTTAGCAGACATTTTTAATAAGTTCATAAATTTAATTTTTTTTTTTTAAATTGAAATTAAAAAACACTTGATGTATTTTTTAGTTGGAATTAATTAATTTTTTTATTAAAAAAAAATTTTTTTATTAAATGTCTGTTAACTGTTGTAATATTTTTGATGATAATTAAAATTAATTAGCCTGATAATTTAAAAGATAAAACATTTATTTTTGATTATAATTTTTTTTAAATAAAAAATTATCAAGTGAATTAATTTTAGTATCATTTAAAATTCAAAATAATTCAAACCTACATTAAATTTCGCGGTTGAATTTTTTTAAAAAATGGCGGGAAAATTCAAACTTATAAAAAAAGCATATAAACAAAATTTGACACAAGGTGAGTTAGTATCTGAAAAAATCAAACAAAAAAAAGTCCTCAACTCTTAATATTTAAAGACAAAGTCGATTGCAATGTAAATTAAATCTTTAGCTGCATTGTCGCGGAACGTGCAGTCGAAACGCCAACGCTTCTCTCAGTATTCACACTCTATTCACCACACAACACACACTTACCCACATGTGTATTTATAAATGAAGACATGTGTACGTGCGGCAATACGTTTTTTTTATTTAGTTTTTTTCGTAGTAACCCGGTGAACAGAGCCGAGTAATGACGTCACTGCGACAACTTCCGGAGCCTCTTTGGCGGTTTAAAAATTCAGCTCTCTAGTACATTATAAAAATACCGAGTTACTGTGAGCATTTATAATTTACTCCAAACATTATTTATATTGTATTTTAATAATTGTTAAAAATATCCAATTATCAATGTTGGTGCGAGTTTTTAGAAAAATTAACCGAGTTGCGAGAAGTGGGTCTAGGCCCTCTCAAGGCTCTACCGATTATGTCTACTATAATCTAACTCTTAGCAAGACAAAGAGGTAACGCTTCATGTACATATATACATATACTTACTAAGTATGTACTGTCGCAATTATATTACTGGACGAAACAGACGCCAGTGGCGCTGCCAGCGTCATCGGAATTATTGTGAAATACCAACACCAACCAGTTAACTTTCCAAAGTGTTTTATTTTACAAATTTAACAATTACTATTACAAATACAATTGTATCATTTTTATTATTAAAATTATTTAATTTATTATTTCATCTAAAGGGAGCTTTTTATTTTATAGATTCAGAACTGGTACAGAGTATGCTCGGTACTCCGAATGAGCGGTTAAGAGTAATGAGAATAATGCAGGTCTGAGTGTTGAGAGTACCGACGATTATCGAAAGTGAAACGATGACGCGTTTGGCACACCTCCGTCATTTATATACCACTTGCACATACACACATGCAAAAGATAAATGTGTTATTTATTGTTAACAATATAACAACAAGCGCTGTGTTATATTAAATTTTTTATAGCACGTGGGTATTTGCGGTGACATATTTTTATTAATTGTTGAATTAAAATTTAGGCTTGGTTAATTAATTTATAGGGTATTTCGTATTTGTTTTTCAGTGCCGAGAACTGAAATTAATCCGGACAAAAAAAAAACTAAAATAAATTGTTGGGATCGATGCGCACTGATCAACTTGGAATAAAATAATTATTGCGTCAGAACTTGTCGAATTGAAAGCTACGAGTATTAACTAACGTCATTAAACCGGTATTACGAGTTAACAAATTTACAAAATATAAAACAGAGTTGCTAAAAATTTTTTTTTTTTTTTAAGCTACTTTTATCAATAAGGAATTAAAAATTAATGTGCAGGTATTTGTTTTGAAAATTTTATTTTATCTTTATACGACGATTTTTTTTTACATCTCGTAGAATTTATAATTTATTTATTCTGAGAATTTATTTGAAATTTAAAAAAATTATAAGTGAACCGTAGAAAGATTTTTTTATTGGAGTTTTTTTCTTTTTATTTGAGATTTCTTCGTAAAATCAAATATAATTCTTTGACAAATAAAATCTTTTCAGAGATTTTTATTGAAATTACAATAAAAGAAATTAAAAAAAAAAAATTCAATGGAATTAGAGAGTTTGTACTTTGAATATTTAATAAAATTTTTTCATCATAAAATATTAATAAAAAAATTTCTGGTTTATTTAAAATTTTTATCATAGATCAGATATTATTGTCAGTTTATAATCTTCTTAAAACTAAGACATAAACCGATTAAATTATTAAAAAATACAGAAGCATAAATCAATGACTAATTTTGGCCACGTGTTTGCTAACGAAATATCGACGCACCCTGTGGAGCACCCCAATAAAATTATTTATTGTGTACCTAGGGATCTTAGAGCCCGAGTAAGCTTTTGTTAAGCGTTTAGACAAATAAACTACCCGAAATAAATATTCCGGGGTACGGGCAAGGCAAAGACCAGTTTAAACTAAGCCCGCAATAAAAGTGAGAGTACTTAAAGCTTAAGATCATAAATGAAAAAAATATTTATGCTGTAAACATGGTCTTACTTTACTTATACATTACCTGGTGAGAAACTTTGCTTAGAGTTAAGGAGGAATAAAATAAAATTTATTTAAAATAATTTTGTAAAAATTTGTTGAGACATATTATGTACAGAGAATAATAATTCTAAATAAAATCTAAAATCTAAATGCCGAAATGGTGGTCTTATAAAATGAATAGAAGACAAGTGAGACAAAATAGTATATTAGCTCGGTTCTCTATTTTAGAAACTTACGAATTTCATAATTATCGTGTAATGTCGTAAGACCTGGTGTGCCATACCTGGTTCTTATGGATCTTATTGGGGTCTTTAGTTCTTTCTTGCTCACTCTATTAATTTTATATATATTTTTCTTGGTTCTTTCTCTCGGTCTTAATATAAAGTATATATATTTGTATTTGTATTTATATGTATATATTTGTATGTGTGTGTGTGTGTGTGTGTGTGTATGGGTGAGCCGGCAAAAGCAAGCAAGCATGGCAGGCAGAGTAAATCGTAAGCATTTGACTGCTTGACTCCTACCTCATGGCTCGCCCTGATGATATTAAGTGGGGGAGAAAGGTTAGGTTAAAGTTGTGGATATTGTGTAACACCCACGCTAAAAGATTTATTTTTTTATAAATTAATTTCACCGAATTTTTAAATTCCATTGGGAAAAGTATGAGTATAAAAAAATATTTCATAATTAATTTTCCCTGGAATTTTTAAAATTTTTTAAATAATTATTGTTATTAAAAAAAAGATTTTGAAATAAAAAGGATAATTAGAATATTTATTTTAAAAAAAAAAAAAAAAAAAAAAAAAAAAAAAACTACCAAAAGTCATGAATTAATTCTACGAAAATAGAGTATCCGGTAGGCGATTGTGCTCGTTAAAATGTTGCATAATAAGTACATTTGTAATCGCATTAGATCTTTTATTTAATTTTTTATTATATATTCTAATCTCGCTTGTTAAAAAATTAGAGCATCAAATTAAAATAAGCACAAATTAAAAGATCCTGATTCAGGCTTTAATTGTAGTTTAAAATAATTACTATTAAAAAATTAAGCGGGGGAAAAAGTGAGAAATCAAAAATGACGGATGATTGTAAGATTGGTGGGTCTAGGATTTGAAGATTTAAGAAAAATAATGTAGAATTAAAGACAAGTACAAGTATAATAATAAATGTACAGAGCGAATGTTGTGAGTGGAGGATAGTGTGTGCGACAATTGGATATAAAGAGGGTTAAAGAGTAAAGAGGGAGGAATATGCCGGGAGATCAAAGGGGGGAAAACAGGGAGAAGTGGACGGCGAACGATTCAACCTCCTTTCACTTTCAACAAGCACACACCAACACCAATAAAATTCACACACACTGTATGCTATTGTAACATATGTATGTATGTATTTAAATAATACTACTGTATTCATCACACACGGACTTGTGTGTGCTTACTACATTAGTTTAGCTGATATATGTATAGCTTAGCATCGAAAATAGGCAACGTTGTTTTTAAAGTAAAGGTTTTGCGGCGTGTGCCTACCCTATTAATAGAAGTTGCCATTTTATTAACCATTCCCGCGTTAATTATTTAAATAATCATTTTTTAAATAAATTACTGTCAATGTCACGTCCGGTGATCCTCATTGTACCGACACTAATCATATGATATATTGTTTTTTGCAATAAAATAAGCCACGGTGAATTTCGATTGCGAACTCCGCTCATTCATTAATTTTATTAAAATTATTACAATTCAGCTGAGTTTGTTTTATAAATCTTAAATAAAAAGTATCTAGATTGCTGTAGAGAGAAATAAACAGATACTGACTCATCACACGTTAAATAGGACGCGTTAGAATGTACAAGGTCGTTTGTAACAACAAACATGTACATTAGATATTAGATATTCAGCGTATGTACGAAAAAAAAAGCTTAGATCGATTTTTGGTTGGTTCTCAAGGATACGCCGTGAATTTTTATTATCGGTTTTTGCTATTGCTCTCTTCATTTGGTATTCGGTGTAATTACTATTAAATTATTCAATCTTCAACTGGTATTAGGTGTTAGCTAATCCGTACTCACGTTTTGTAAGAGTTTATTACGGGTTTTTCGGCACCAACAGGGGCACTCAAGTTGTATTCTAAATTATTAGTAATGGTGATTCAGTACTGCTTAAAATTATTACCAGGAATTTTTTTTTTTTTATTTCTTTAACAGTCGGTCAGTAAAATGCTTAGTTTATTTTTTTTTTTGGTATTAATTTAGAATAATTTTGTTTAAAAATTAAATTTAATGTTTTGCAAAGATAAAATGGCGGGTTTATAAGTTTGACTCTTTTTTTTTATTTAAAAATTTTATTGAACTATTTATAAAATTATAAAAAATAAATAATTTAAAATTTTAAATTCACTCTTTTAGTTGGATAAAAAAATTTTTAATTTATTATTTTATTATAATTTAAATAAATATTTGCAATTAAAAATCTGAAGTGATGAAAGCAAAATCGCGGGTTTATAAGTTTGAATCTTTTTTTTGTTATTTAAAAATTTTATTAAACTATTTATAAGAAATAAATAATTTTAAATTTTAAATTTTAAATTCACTCTTTTAGTTGGATAAAAAAATTTATTATTTTATTATAATTTAAATAAATATTTGCAATTAAAAATCTGAAGTGATGAAAGCAAAATGGCGGCTATAAGTTTGACTCTTTTTTTTTGTTATTTAAAAATTTTATTAAACTATTTATAAGAAATAAATAATTTTAAATTATAAATTCAATGTTCTAGTTTGATAAAAAAAATTTTAATTACACTATTTTAATAAAATTTAAATAAATATTTGCAATTAAAAATCTGAAGTGATGAAAGCAAAATGGCGGGTTTATAAGCTTGACTCTTTTTTTTGTTATTTAAAAATTTTATTATACTATTCATATGAAATAAATGATTTAAAATTTTAAATTCACTGTTCTAGTTTAATAAAAAATTTTTCAATATATTATTTTAATAAAATTTAAATAAATATTTGCAATTAAAAATTTGAAGTGATAAAAGCAAAATGGCGGACTAATTTTTCTTGTGTCAAAGGTATTATATAATTAAAAATATAAATATAGATTAATGAGTTAACCCAAAAAAAAAGTATAATAATAGAGAGCTAATAATGAAACTATAATTATAAATATCAGATAGCCATTAGCCCAAATTTTGAATCTGAAAATAAAATTAACTAGTTTTATAATCTATTAGAGCGATTAATAATTTATAAAAATACCAAACACTTGTAAAAATCCGGAACTCTATAAACAATTCAGCCTCGTGTTAAATAAATAAATAAAAACATCTAAAAGTTAGTCATAGGCAATAAGGTTTAAAATTCAGCGCTTCCGTATTGATTCACTTGTTTTCCGCTTTCGATGTCCTTGCTGACTTGTCACAAGGTCTCCTGCTAAATAATATCAAGTACAAAATAATAAAATAAAACCTCCGCCATCTAAAACAGATTAATTAATGAATTTGAATAATTTTTTCAGCGGTACGAGCGGATCGGATGCGAGGGGGTAGGAATAAATTTGGACCTATGTACAAGAGAGATCGAGCGCGAAAGCTCCAGCTTCTGCGGCAACGTCAGCTCGCGCTCCAGACAATCAGAGGGAGTCTGGGAGACCCATCAAACTACCCATCGGCGGTAACGCCGTTTCTCCATATAAAACAAGAAATTCAAATACCTCAGGTCTCGAGTTTGACGTCTTCGCCGGACTCGAGTCCTTCCCCAGCTGCGGTAGCCGCTGGACTCGTCACCACCCAGCCCAGCGGCAACACCACCAGTAGCAACAACAACAACAACAACAACAACAACAACAACAATAACAACAATAATAATAATAATAATAATAACAACAATGGCGGTGGTAATGCAGGTCAGCATCAGTTGATAGCGCCTTCGACGCAACCGACGTTGTCGGGCGGCAACCATCTGTACAACCCGAACCCGAGCCTCGACGGGAAGCTCTGGGCCGCAAACTCCACTACCTCCAGTCCCAAGGCCTTCAACTTTGGCGAACAGTCCAGCCAAGGGCACGGTCCTAACTCCGGGACTACCTCATCAACAGCCACCACACTTAAAACTAGTCCGATGATCCGCGAATTTGTACAATCTGTCGACGACCGCGAATGGCAGGCCTCCCTCTTCGGGCTTCTGCAAAATCAAACATATAATCAGTGTGAAGTTGATTTATTTGAACTTATGTGCAAAGTGCTCGATCAGAATCTCTTTTCGCAAGTCGATTGGGCGAGAAATTCCGTCTTCTTCAAAGATCTCAAGGTTTGATTTTAATTTTTTTAATTTTATTTTTATTTAATTTTTTTTTTTTTATTTTATTATTTTTAATTTCAACACTGAGATTAGCAATTTTTTATTTTTGATAATTTTTTTTGATAAAATAAAATCATTTTTTATCATAATAACAAAAGTAATGTTTATTAAAATTTTTTTAATAAATAAATTAAAAAAATAAATTTTATATGAAGAAATTTTTTAAAATTTATAAAATTAATTTATTTGTTAAATAAAAATAAAAATTTTAAGCTAATTTCAGTGTGACTTTTCTAATAAAATTTAAACACTATTTTTATATTAAAAAAAAATAATGACTTAATTTGTAAAAATAAAACAAAAAAGCCATTAATGACTACAAAGCATTACAAAGTAATGATGAAACTTATAAATAAATTGTGATTGAGCTTAATGATTTTTAAAAACATATAAAATAACTTCATTAATACTATTCTCAGATAATATTTGCTAGATTACAACTATCACATATTTATATAATATATTTACGATAAATTTAGAAAATTAGAACAGCATTGAAGCTAATCGATAAATTATATAATTAATTCCAGAAAAAGTAGTTAAATTTTCCCAACAACCAAATGCTTATTGGAGTAAAAAAAAAAATTAGTTTATTCAAATATCTAAAACTTGACATTTAACATTCTGAATAAATAACAGAGTATAGATTTAGATAAAATAGATATGGGGCATGTATAGCCGGTGCATATATTTAAGGAGTTTAATTTTGTTTAAAAAACTAGTAGTAGTAGTAGTAGTAATAGTAAAGTAATGATAAAAATAAAAATAATTTAGTTGTTATACATAAGAGTTGGAACATTTAGCTGATCATTGAGTAGAGCCAGTGAGCCGTAAGAACTCTCTGGACATGAGGTAACTAGTCGCGTTGCACAATCGTTGAATGATTTCAAGCATCGCCTCATATCTAGGTCACAGCAACAGCCGTTTCTAGGTTATTGGTAGCGGTCGAAACCATATTTTTTATTTTTTATTTTTATTTAACACATTATTAACAAACTCACGTTGTTATTGCAACTAGTAAGCCTACTCAACAAACTCCAAATAAATAAAATAAACAATATTATACATATATTATATTTTGTTATTTTAATACCGGAATTATTTTCTTATCATTGTTGATTTTTATTCTCACAACGATTGCGCTATCGTGTGTCAGTATTTATATTTACAATCGTAACTATCAGCCTTATTTAAAAAACTAAAAAAAAAAAAAAAATTTAACTGTCAATTTTTTTTCAATATATAATTTTTTATTTTAATAAAATAAATTATTTTTCAGGTTGATGACCAGATGAAATTACTACAACATTCGTGGTCGGATATGCTAGTACTTGATCATCTTCACCAGAGGTTACACAATAATTTACCCGATGAAACAACACTGCACAACGGCCAAAAATTTGATCTCCTCTGTCTCGGCCTACTTGGTGTTCCCTCACTCGCCGATTTATTTAATGATTTGTCCCAAAAACTCCAAGAACTTAAATTCGATTTGTCGGATTACATTTGTGTCAAATTTTTGATGCTACTTAATCACGGTAATTTTATTATTATCAATTTTTAAACTTGTAATAATAATAATAATAATAATAATAATAATTTAAGTCATGATATTATTATTATTATTATTATTATTATTATTAAAAATTTATTAATATGGATTTATTTATCAAAATCAATTAGTAAATTTATTTTATTTATTTAATGTTTTTTACAGTATTTATATTAATTATTAATTATAATTATCAATTTAGAGGTACGAGGCCTGGTGAACAAAAAACATGTCCAAGAGGGTCACGAGCAAGTACAACAAGCACTTTTGGATTATACATTAACGTGTTATCCATCCCTACCGGTAATTATTATTTATTTATCTTTTTAAAAAGCTTATTAACATCACTGTTAAATATTTATTATCATTCGAAAAGTTCATTTAAATAATTATCGCTTATTATCTCTTGACTAGTCATTAATTATTAAATAATTTATCAAACTGGGGTTCAAATTTAAAAATAATAATTATTTTATTTTTTTATGAGAAGAAGACTAATTGAATATAAATATATTTTCAGGATAAATTTAATAAACTACTGGCAGTATTACCAGAAATTCACGTAGTAGCAAGCCGAGGTGAAGATCATCTCTATCAAAAACACTGCAACGGTGGTGCCCCAACGCAAACCTTACTTATGGAAATGTTACACGCCAAGAGAAAATGAAACAATCCACCAGTAATATTAATAATACCACTATTAATATTAATAATAAAACTAAAACTAAATCTAAATTTAAAACTAAAATTAAAAATAACAATATTATTAAAATTAAGATTAATAATACTATAACAGCAGTTTATTGTAAATGTCACTTAAGTCCCGGTATAGTTATCGATAAAATTACAATTATAATACAATAACGTACCTCATACATCAGTAAGAGTGTGTATTCAAATTTTAATTGTCTAATTAATGCAACCGTAATACAGACAAAACACTCTATGCCATTATAAATCTAAAGGTTATCGAGTCGGGGCTCATTTAAAAATTATTTTCAAATTTTTTATTTTGAAATTCACCGCAGGAATTGTAAATTTATAAACAAAGGAGTATTTAAAAAAATATATATATATATTATATATATAAGAAATAAAAAACTACGATATATTTTCTATATTTGATGTTGAAGTTTTAGAGATGTATCACGGGTAAAATGATAATGATTATCAATCATTAATGATGACGTTCAATTTTGTTTATTAAATTATGTAAAATAAATTTCTGTTATTGCAATACTTTAATTTGAAACTTTAAAACTAATTTGAATAATAACGTAACTTGTTTGTTATAATTTATAATTAAATGTGATATTTTTATTATTGAAACTGGAATGATGATTAAATTTAAACAAAAAAAACGTTCGCTCTATTTAATATTATAAATTGTTATTATTTAATTAGTTGTTTGATTAACAATTAAAGGTATTGTTTTTTGTCTATTGGATTATTTTTATAGCGCAGGAGTTTATAGAAGATGCCTTGAAAACAGTACAAAGGTGGTTTAGACAGACAAAAATCTATTGAATAAAATAACATTTTAAAATAATAAATAAATAATAAAAACTATTGGTCAAAGGGCAGGCAACTTTTGTCTAAATAGGTAATTAATTATAAATAAAAAACAAAGCTATTTTTCTAATAAATCTAGTGAATGATTAATTATTAAGTGTTACCACTGAAGCCTTGCTCTCACTGAATAATTAAATAATCAAATTATAATTATTATTTTTATCCACTAATTATATTAAAACCATGTATATAACAATCTTTATTTAATTAGTTTTTCGACCGGGACTTGATGTTTTGTTTTTCTTATTTTTATTTTAATTTTTTCTTTACTTTATTATTAATTATTATTATTATTATTATTATTATTATTACTATTATTATTTTTAATCTAAGCCATTTCGTGCTAGCGGGATTCAATGGGCATAAGGAGAGTTGACAAAAAAATTCAATTCAAAAATAATAAGTATCAAAAGTCCCGTTTAATGAGGGCAAGCTTAAGAGCGTTCGTAGACAGAGTCCTCGACTTTTTTAAATTTGAAAATTCGTACTCAAAAATTAATATTGTTTAAACTACTGAACTAATTATAAATTATTTATTCGGTCTGAAGAAATTTTAATCTAATTATTATTTTTTTTTTTTTTTTCTTAAATTATTGCATGAAAAAATGAGAGGGCGAGGTCTAAGAATGGCTTTACTCTGTAAATTTATAAATTATTTTTTGTTAAACGATTTATTGACGTAAATTATTAGTTTATAATTAATGATTTAAAAACAAAAAAAAATGACAATTTAAATAATAAAATTATGGGAAATTTGCATTTTTTTTGGACACTTGCACAAGCAGGGCTACTTTGTAAATACTTAGTTAACACATTCCAGTTATGTTGTATAGATTTAATCATTTAAAACATTATAAGATTGTCGTTTAATTATAATAATAATTATTATTAATTAATTAATGGATACGATAGAGTTAAAGAAAGCTATTAAAAATATTAAAAAATAAAAAAAAAAAAAACAGATAAATAATTACGATCATGTTAAATATGTAATTATATAATATTTTGTGTATAGTTTAATAAATATAAATCTATATATGAATATATATAAATATGAATCTGTAATTATATGTGTGTCTTTATATATATATTTATAGATTTATATGGATATATATATCTATATTTCTGTTGCTTACAAATAAAGAGAGATAAAAATTAGCAACTAAATTTTAATTATTTACAATTATTTTTTTTTTCTTTTTTTAGTTTAGGTGGCGGATTGAGTTTTGTTATTATTATGGAATTAAGGAATCATTGGAGCAAGGTTTATGTGGTCGTATAATATTTAAATATTATAATTGTTAAATAATATAAGTGTTTAAATAAAAATATTTATTTATAATTATATAAATATATTCATAAATATATTTATATACTTAAGGAATAAATTTTGTCGAGTTTATAAGTGGAGTCATTTTTTCACAGACTAATTAATTGTTTATTTTACTGAGCCAGTAATTTATCTGAGCTGTGAAAGCCGTCGGTCATTGGTACCTAAAAAGATATTTAAATAATAATAATAATAATAATCAATTATTGTAATTAATGGAGTTAATAATTTTTGTGAAATTGTCAATTAGAAAAAAATTTTTAAATTTGTCTGACGATTGATAAAAATTATTCAGTCTATTTTTAAGATTAATAAAAAAAAATAATTATTAAAATTTTAACATATATATAAAGTAATTTTTCCAAGTAAATATGGTGCGATAATTAATCCAAATTACAACGATTTTGTTTGATAAAAAAAATATCGTGCACCGGGAAGTACCTGAAAGTGTTTTGAACAAATTAATCATCAACTATAAATTTATCGACTTACAGTCTTATTAATATTTAAAATGATATTTAAAAACAATTAAATTGCAATTGCACTAGTGTGTATTATAAATATATTTTAACGTGGACTAAAAAATTTTCTCTTGCAATCAACAGATTTTTTAAATAAATTTACAGGTTCGACCTAAAGGAGAATTTTTATTTCTATCTGTTGCTAAATATTTTTAAATGATATTTCATTGTAATTAAAAATAAAAAAAAAAAAACTATTTTAAAATTAGAATCAAAAAAAAATTTTATCAAGAGAATAAATAAATATATTCTAATAATTCACGCTTTTTTAATGAAAATATAAATTTGTTGCATAATAAGAGATATAAATATATGAATACATGAATATATATTTGATTAAAAATATAAATAAATAAATAATCCACGAATTGCTTACCATTAAGAAAATAATTAAAAATAAATACTGTATTTAATATTTTAAAAATAACAAATACATATTTTAAAAATGATAAATAAATAGTGTGTCGTTTTACACTGCCGTTGGAGCGCTGGAAAAATTGTAAATTATGTAGAAACAAATACCATCAAAAACAAAATAATTGATTGTAAATATATCTTTATTAACATAAAAAATTAGTTAGCGTAATTGTAATAAGTCATTGATAAATCCTATAATTTATTTTATTATTTAATGAGGATCTGACTTTAAAAATTCTTCATAAGATTCTTCGTTCATCAGCGACTTGATTTCATTTACATCATCAACTTTAACTTTAAACAGCCATCCGTCTTTGTATGGCGAGGTATTTATTAGCCCGGGTTTATTTTCAACCAATGTATTTTTTTCAATTACTTTTCCTGTTATCGGGCTTATTATTTCCGACGCAGCTTTCACCGACTCCAGAGCCCCAACTTCTTCTACAATTTTTAATAAAACAATATTAATTTATTTATAAATAAATTTCATAACACTAAAGTTAGCCGACGTTTTCAATTTTTTTTTTTTCATTTATTAAATTAGAACTGAAAAATATTTTTTTAAATTGCACTTATAGTTTTTCTAAGTTTTTTTTTACAAATGAAAGATTTTTTTTTTTTTAGTAACAATTTTTTCAATAGAAAAAAATTCTAAATCTTTTTAGGTGTCGGCTGACTTAATTTTCATATTAAAAAAAATAAAAAAAAAAAAATTGAAGAAAATTTTCTTCTAAATTTTCTTATTAAAAAATTATTAAATGTCTGCTAACTTTAGTATCATAAATCATGAAAATTAAGTTAGCCGACATTTAAAAATTTTTATAATTTTTTTTTATTAAAATAATCATTGCAAAATAATAAAATTGCTTGAGTGCAATTTTTTAAAAATATTTTTTAGTTCTAATTTAATAATTAAAAAAAAATCTTACCTTCTTTTTTTATAGTAGTCCCCACGTCAGGCAATTGCGCGTAAACAACATCTCCAAGAGCATCTTGAGCGTAATTAGATATTCCAACAGTACCTATGTCATCATTCAACTCAATCCATTCATGTTTGTCTGTGTACCACCTGTCTGAAAAAATTATTTGTATTGTTTATTAATAATATTTTCCATGAAAAGTCATTTAAACAGTACTCTTCATTTTTAAACACCACTTCGCTAGTTTGAGAGTCTATAAAAAAAAAAACTAAAGGAGTAATTAAAAAAAATTGCTTTTATTACAATTAAGGTGAGTGATAAAGTAATTAAAAAATTATTTACAATTAATTTTATCAAGTAATCAAGAGATAATTGAGAAATAAATGTCAGCCGACATTTTGATGGAAGATTTTAATTCAAAATGGCGAATTTGGGAAGAAATAAATTTGAAGTGACATATTATTTGATTGTAACAATTGTAAATAATTTTTTTTTTAATTATTAATGTTTAATAAAATATAAAATAATTTATTTTAAAATAAGTAATAACAAAGTGATAATTACCGGCTAACATAGATGTCGTTGCAATAGTTCTGGCATAAACATGCGCAGTAGATTTTTTCTGACAGCTCAAGTATTTTATCGTGTTAACACAAGATAAATTTTTAATTGTTTGTCGTGTTAATTGGCTGACTAATTGCGCCATTATTATCTAATTATTTAAATCGCTCTATATGCAATTAAATTTGAGTTAATTTAATAAACTATTGTGTAACTACCACGTGAAATTAATGTTTTTCACTCACAAGCACAACGTGAGACTACTTCACGTTGCTAAGACCGCGTGACTCAAACGACTGATAAAATTACCGATTAAATTATTAAACAATATTTGCTAATTTGTAATCACTGACCTTTCTTATCAATTAGATTATCTAAACTTTATTTATCAAAACTATTATTTAAATTTTTTAGTTTTAATTGAGAAATTTATAAAAAATTTTCAACTTTTTTTTTTTTTTTTATAAATTTTATTTTAAAAAATTTTTAATGAATATAAATCAAAAAAAAAAAACTTTTTAAATAAGAGTAAAAAAATTAAAAACTAGATTGAGGTCGAATTAACAATCACGTAATGTCAAGAATTATAAATAATCAATAATATTTATGCAACAAATTGATAAAAATATTTTTATTTATACTGACCTAACGAATATAAATAATAAGGATTAATAAAATACTTTAATTATTTTATTTATTTCTTGAAAATACTTTAACACTTTTTCTTGAACAAAAAAAAATATTTTAAAAAGTAACATATTAAAAATAACTTTTAAACGGAATGAAGAGTTATTTTAAAGTCCGATGGTGTTGGAACGTCCATTTGGGTTGTGAATTCCCAAACATTTGGGCTTGGTGATGCACCACTCGTACCAGACGTTCCTTGAGCTGCATTTTCTCCAGAAGGAAATCTCTATTTTTTCTTTAGCTTTTACTGGAATTGGTTCCTAAAATAAAATTTTATTATCTAAACTGTAAAAAATCGAAAAAAAAATTCTTACCTTTACAGGGAAGAAAATGGGAAACCAGCTCAACATTCCCGGGCTGTGAGTATCCGGAACGATACTCAGAGTAATACTTTCATACAAGACAACGTCAAAGTATCCAACGAAGCCATGCAAAACTGAATTTTGCTCTGCAGTAAATATCTTTTTTTCATATCGTGAATTATTTATTACTTCATCTAAAAATAAAATTAAATAATATTAATAATAATAATAATAATTGTAAGAATTAAAAATACCTTTATTAGGATGATTAAAAGTAAACAAAGGTTGTTCTTTATCAATCTGATACTTGTTGTGCAAGTAAACAACGTAAGGAGTCTCAAAATGAGCCAACGGATGTTTGTCCTTATCGTGGCATTGTTTTAGCTCGTTGTAAATTTTTGATGACTGTACTGGACCAATATATGAAGTGTAAGATTGCGGAATACTGACACCATCATCTAAAAATTAATTTAAATCATTATAAATTACAGTGTAAACTCTATATAGCATCACACTCACTCTGTCAATAACGACAACAATTAAGTAATAAAAAGCATAGAGTACTTTAAGTTGCTAAAATTAGTAAAAACTGTGCAGCTGTGTACGTTGTACTGTCAGCAGTCATGGATTATCTATACGTTAGTGTCTAGATAAATACGACTAGTGTTTTACAGCCAATGGACTCGAGTGTGATTAAAAGCCTCAAGGGTCACAAAAATTATAGTACTTAAAAATAAAATTATAAGGGTTGCGGTCAATTAGTCAGATCAACACCATTCCGAATTATCAAAACTCTAGAAAATTTTAAATTCCGCTACATTCAAAGTTTATAAAATACATTACCTTAAATAGAATATCAGCCGAAAAACAATTTTACAAATTATAAAATACCGAGCTATCAAATATAGTTAAACATAAATCTTATATTCCTGAAGAGTTAAAATTAATTTAATTTCGAAAAAGGTTCTTTCCGACGTATATTTATCCGAATAATGATTCGGTAGAAAATTACTCATCCAAATAACTATATATTTACATTTTTCGGCTAATAAAAATTTTCGTTGTTATATTATTTAATTTATTGAGATTTTGTGACTTTAAAAGATTCTATTAATGTAACTTTAGTTTTTTCTTTATTCAAGATTATATTTTTCGGAATTTTAAAATTTGTAAAATTAATTTTTTTTAATTACATTTTATATTTACTTTCTAAATTCTAATAATTTATTAATTCGAAATGTTGTCAGTCTGATTAGTTGACTGCAACCCAATTATAACTCTATAATACCTTTCAAAAATTTCTGAGCGCCATCCAAGCACTCTGGTGACAATTCATTGTCTCCAAAAGATCCCAACAATTCAGAAACAATAATATCTGCTTTTTCAGGCGCTTCCCATTGTCTCATATCAGAGGAGACAATTGTCACTCGAGGACCAAAAACATCATTTTTCAAGGCGTGTAACGTCAAAATAGCATTTGGATTTTTTTCCACTGCATAAACTCTTACATTGACTTTGGCCATGTCAGCAGCATGGAGAGTCGCACGCACCAAGGGGCCACGTCCGGCTCCTACAACCATTATAACTCTGCAAAATATAATAAAAAAAAAAAAAAATTATAATAATAATAATAATAAATATTGAAATTTAAATTAGATAGAAAAAAGTAAGAACTTACAGAGTAGTATCTAGACTTTCATTCTGAATTTTAGCAGTGATAGCGCGATGAATCGCTCGTTGGTACTCTGAATACTTAACCGGATCCTTTTCAAAGACTTCGTAGGTTCCCGACTCGAGGTTGTCCATCAGCGGTTGGAGAGGAAACTGGAGGTAATCTTCGTACCCACGACCATAACGCTGAAGTGGCCCGTGAACCTGGAAGCCTTTTTTCCAGACGTGGTCCAGGTAGTTAAAGTACAGCGCCAAGTCCGAGTACCGGTTAGCTCCGGTCAGCAAGAACTGGACATTCAGAGGACTGAATCTTTGGATCAGAGCTTGGTGAGCACGTCCCAGGACTGGGTAGCCTTTTTTGTTGGTCATGAATAGAGTTGTTGGAAGTATCAAACATTTTATCGGTTCTCCAAGCCATCGGTTGATCTAAAAAGAGTATAAATAAATTCTTTTTAAATATATAAGTCCTAAAAAATTTTATGTTAATATAAATTACCTCATCTTCCTCTGGCAAATCGTGGCTGACAATCAGAGCGACTCCAATTTTCTTATCAAAGTCACAGATGAACCTAAACTCGTTCCACCACTCCCAAGGACTCTCGCAAACTACTTCCTCGTCGGTGCGATAAGACATCTTCTGCTTGAGCGGGTTCTCCATGGGGATTTGAACCCAGATTTGGGTGTTGGACACCGTGACAACTTTGTCGTTAATGATACACGCCAAATTGACATTCTTATCGATACCGCCCTGCAATTTAAAAGTTATTGCTGGGATGCTAAGGTGGGAGGCCAGTGACAGTTCTTGGGCTAGCATCGCCTCGCTGTTCTCCCGGACGTGTCGCACCGGGGAGTCCACATTTATGTATGGAGACAGCTTTCCAACTATCAGCGCATTCCAGTCTAGGTGTTGAAAAAATATTTCAATAATTATTTTTTAGAGATTGAAGATGACAATCAAACCTGGGGGAAATTACCTGAGGAGTTAAGTACCATATCAGCGCGGGTAAATGCTTCATGACGGTTCTTGGCTGGTCCTGAGATAAACTCACGCTTCAATTGAGGATGCACGAGGGGTACACATATATATTCATACCTGTTTAATTATCATAAATAAATAAATAAATAAATTAAAATTAATTTAGCAGATGTTTGATAATTTTGACAAATAAATTATGGCAAAAAAAAATTGACATGTAGAAATTAAAAAAAAAAAAAAAAAAAATACAATATTTTTTTTAAATAATTTTTTAGAACAAATTTTTTTGTTAAAAAAAAAATTAAAAAATGATAAAGTTTTAATTTAAGTACATACTTAATAATTATTTAACAATAAAAATATAAATTATAATAATAATAAATTACCCAGATTGTTGAGCAGTCTCTAAGCAACTATGCAAATCTGGTGCCGCTGCAAAATTAAGGCCACATGAGACTGTTCGAGTTCCTGACATTTTTAACTGGAAATAACAATAACCAATTCTATTTAACCTCAAATTTATTATTCTTGGTAATTGTTAATATTATTGAGCTTACCTTAATATAATAAATGCAAATAAGTTAATAATTTGGTTACAATTAGTTAGTAATTATTGACATTGACATGTAGTGAGGTATTTGTTTATTTATTTTATCAATTTCTTTGTTATATTGTTAAGAGTTAAAGCGCATGTTGGTTTCGGCGCTATGTGTTTATCTGCATTTCAGCCGGAGTTTTCAGCGGTTGCCGATTGGGACCGATGGTAAACGGAGCTTACCGGAAAATAACGAGTTTTAACGAATTTTTAAAAGTGTGTGTTAGTTTTACAGTTTGCGCTTTCTTGCATGGAAGTGAAAATTATATAAAATTTATATCGCGTTACAGATGCCATAAGGGCGGATAAAAATTATACGCTCTTATGGTTCTCGAGAACCGGAAGGGCTTAGAAATTTTTTTTTTTTTGCATTTCTACACATTTCGAGGAAAATACGTCGATTCCCGAAAAAAAAAAACAATTGAATTTTTATATAATAATCATTAGAAATAAATTTATCGAAAGTTTTAAAGCCTAATAATACATCCCGGCACGGAAACGCGAAGATGTAAATTTGAAAATTCTAAATTTCTAAAAAAAATAGTAAACTAATCAACTGTTTGGCCTAAAAACCTTGTAGGGGATGCAAAAACAATTCGATTGACATAATATGTATATGACATAATATATTATATTAATCATTCCCAAGCAGTACACTGGCAACTTAATAACACCAAAAAGTTATCTAAAAAAAATTAGATGCCAATAATCTCCACTTTCAAAAAGTTGACAAATTTTCTACCGAAATGAGGAAATTTTCTACCAGAGGAGCGGGCGAGTAACAGCTATAGTATAAAATATAAAATTACAATGATTTTTAGTTTTAAAGTGCCTTCAAGGCTTATTCTCGTCCAAACAAACTGTGTAAAAGTCATGAATTAGCTTGTAGACTGTCGATTTATCAACCCACACAGTAAAAAATTTTTCGTCATTGTGTAAAGTGTAACAATGTTTGTGTAGAATTTAACATTTTAGTGTGTAGAATTTAACATTTTCGTATGTTGATTCAACACAATAGAGTGTTGATTTAACACAAATTGTGTAAAAAAAGTCATCAACACAAATTTTTGTTTAGTGTGTAGAATTTAACATTTTCGTATGTTGATTCAACACAATAGAGTGTTGATTTAACACAAATTGTGTAAAAAAAGTCATCAACACAAATTTTTGTGTTAAATTTGACGAAAAATTTTTTACTGTGCACACTCCATTTCTTCTCCAATTATCTTGTCCTTGACGGCGTTCCTCGTGGATTCGATGAAGTCGAAGTTATATGGGTCAGGTCGGATTTTTCGTAGTTCCCACACACATGTTGGAAGATATTGTCACGAAGTGCGGTCGATTCATCGCGATACTTCAGAATCAATGCAGCTGTCACAAATTTTGGAGTTTTTGGTTCAATTTTAAAGCCAATCTAATTGTAAGAAGAACAAGGGACTCACCAGTTTCCAAACGTTCCGATTTGCACTCATCAGTCTCGCATTTGTTGACCGGTTCTGGGGCAGATCAATTATATTAATTATATTAATATAATTAATGGTTCTTTTCGAAAGAGAAACTTACCCAGAGGAGGCCGAGAATTCGAGCAGAAATCGTTGCACGGAAAAAAGTAAACTGTAATATTCACTCGGATTCCGGTTAATTTTTATAGTTTCAAACAGTAAAGCGGACATCGGGGTGGCAAAAATATAAATATTACAGAACTTAATGTAGAAAGTATAAAAGCCACAATTTACAATTTAATATCCAAAATAAGTGATTAGTAGCTGTCACTATAGTTAATAACGACTCTTTCATCTTAAAAAATTACAGTTTTAAACAGTAAAAATTGCCATTTCAATATATAGTCCCTATTATGAGGAGAAGGGGAACTCAGATGAAAGAAAAGGGAATCTCACTCTGGGAGAATTTAACATTTGAAACAGTAAAAATTATACTTTTAAAATATACATTTTACCAGTCCAAGAAAGTCAATAATTACAATTTGATTTTTAGCGTTGCGTTTAAAATTTACCATTTTACTTGTAAATATTGACGTTGCTTGTATTAGAAATTTACCAACTTTATTTTATATACTTTTTACATATTATCATAAGATCATTTTTTAGGTACGAAATGATAAATATCAAAGTCTGAATTCTTAATTATTTGACTTTAACATTTTAGACATTTACATAGCGAATATTACTGTTTGAAATAGTATTTTCTTCCATGTAAAGAGTAAATTGTAACGTTTAGATGGTAAATATTATAAAGTGAATAGTAAAATCACGATTTTACTGTTTGAAATGGTAATTTTTAGCAGTTAATCATTCATTACTTATTATAAATCGACTGTTATTTATTACAGTTTACTTTTTTCCGTATGGAAAAATCAAGCAAATCACTCCAATCTTTAATATATAACGGAGCTAAGAATATTTTTGCCTTGCATGGTCATTGTAGTTGGTGTGAATTTATAATTAATTAAACTTATAATTAAAAGTGAATGGAGGATACTGTTTGTTATATATAAGAAGAAATATGAAAAAATTACTATCTATAAGGCAAGAATCAGATGTCAACAATGCTGTAACAGCTTTTGTGTACTTTAGAATAAAACATGTTGTGAAATTATGACTTGTGTAATTAAATAATAGTGTCAAAAAGTTATTTTAATATTGACATTCTTGAACTGGATGTATATTCTTCTTAAACTGTAAATTCTATTTCTTAAGGAAGTTCGAGGAGCGTAACTTATGAGTCAAAATAAAGTAAAATTTTTTTTTTTACTTTCAGTCTTCCCAATATTCGTAAAAATTCTTTTTCTTTATTTTAATGTGAAATAATTTGAACAATTTAATAATTGATAAAAAATTAAACTTTAAATATTTCAAAAATTATATCGGTAATGGATTATTATTAAATTTTTTTTATATTTTACAATAATCCAAGTTTCTTGTGTATAGTTTTTTATTCGTTAAAGTTGGAAGGTTAATATGGAAAAAAAATTAAAGTCTCGACTAAAGTTTGTCCGCCATAAGAGCCCGTGTATAAGGAGATAAAAAATCTGATTTTTGAAATTTACTATTTAAATAACTAAACGGTGAATCTTTTTAAAATTTTGGGATTAGATAAATGACGTATTTATTTATACGTATATTTAATTTCAAAGCTCAAAGTTGGAAGCTATTTTTCACATTAGATTCGCTCGACCTTCCTTAATTGTAGTTTTGAACGAAAGAATTTTCATCTTAAAAATAAATTATTTTTCAATAAAAATATTATTTGCTTCTTTAAAATTCTGAAATAATAATATTAATTTATGAAAAATTTATTTAATTAAAAATAGTTTTATTAATTAATATATTGTTTTACAATATTATTTTATTTAATTTATTTTTTTTGATTCCTTATTAAAATTAATACTTGTAAAACCGAAAGGGATGTAAAAGGCCATTCAGGCCATACATTATATGAATAAACTACTACTACTACTAGTTTTATTAATTAAAAAATATAAATTTGAAGACAATAATGTTTTTTATTCATCAAGTATTTTATTTTTTGTAAAGTAATGATTTATAATATAATGTATAATAATTTCAAGATTGAAAATATAATTTTTAGATTCATTTATAATGAATTATCTGAAAAGTAAAAAATTTTCAAACTTCAGAAATTTCACAGAGAAACGCAAGGATCGTGTCACACTCGATGTCATTCATTCCTCCCTTCGCGAGAAAATTTCCATAATTTTGTTTACCCCCATAATTATTCGGTTGTCCATCAAAATGAGTTTCGCTCCACTTAGAGTACCCGGTCTTAGTAAGAGGGTCGCCTAAAACTGTCACCCACTCGCCTTCTGAGAATAAGTCATGGATGCCAATGTAAGCATGTTTTTCGTCATAAACATTCTGGAATTTTCTCGGACGATTAATTAACTCTAGCAGTACCTATTGGCAAAAAATTTTTTGATCAATCGCTTCAATTTCCATACCAACATTCACACGCGCGTTTGCGCGCGTAACGTATACTAGTCTCTTTATTAAAACTAATGATACAGCAGTAAAATATGACATTCGAAGAATATTATATAAATTTTTCACGAAGAAATATTAAAAAATACGGCAATGGCAGCAATTATTCGGACGTGTCTCGGAAAAAAAGTAGAATTGCGGTGCCCCTCATAACTTGGTGCTGGATCATCTGAAATCAAAAAATGATAGTTTATTCGTTAAATAATAGTTTTCCCCAGGTAACGCTGGGAGAGTTTTTTGAAATTTCAATTTTTCACTTTTTTGGAACACTTTGAAGGGAAAAACGCGATTTTTACAAAAAAAATTCGGTTAATTTGAGCCTTTAAAATGTTCCAAAAAAGTGAAAAATTGAAATTTCGAAAAACCCTCCCAGCGTTACCTGGGAAAAACTATTATCTAACGAATGAACTATCATTTTTTGATTTCAGATGATGAGTTTATATCTTATGAGGGGCACCGCAATTCTACTTTTTTTTTCTGAGACGAGTCCAAATAATTGCTGCCATTGCCGTATTTTTTAATATTTCTTCGTGAAAAATTTATATAATATTCTTCGAATGTCATATTTTACTGCTGTATCATTAGTTTTAATAAAGAGACTAGTATACGTTACGCGCGCAAACGCGCGTGTGAATGTTGGTATGGAAATTGAAGCGATTGATCAAAAAATTTTTTGCCAATAGGTACTGCTAGAGTTAATTAATCGTCCGAGAAAATTCCAGAATGTTTATGACGAAAAACATGCTTACATTGGCATCCATGACTTATTCTCAGAAGGCGAGTGGGTGACAGTTTTAGGCGACCCTCTTACTAAGACCGGGTACTCTAAGTGGAGCGAAACTCATTTTGATGGACAACCGAATAATTATGGGGGTAAACAAAATTATGGAAATTTTCTCGCGAAGGGAGGAATGAATGACATCGAGTGTGACACGATCCTTGATCGTTGATCGCCGTAAAGGGGGTAGTAGGCTTGA